AGCAGAGTGGGTCTCCCATCCTGCCCGGGGACATTTTTCCGGGCCTCTAGGATGACTCGCTGTCTCTCCTCTGTGGTTAGAAGTGCCTGGAGGAGTTGTTGATAATCCTCCCAGGTGGGTTGGTGGGTGAGGAAGATAGACTCTATTAAAGCAGTTAGAGCCTGAGGGTCCTGAGAAAAAGAGGGGTTATGAGTTTTCCAATTATACAAGTCAGAGGCTGAAAAAGGCCAATACTGGATCTGGTCCCCTACAGCTCGTAGAGGAAAAACCTGGGCAGTCCCAGTTCCCTCAGAGGAACACCCTCTATCTCTTCTCAGGCGGAGTCTACTAGATGGTGGGGAGGAGTGATCAGGTTCAGTGGAATCAGGAGATGGATGAGGTAGTTCTTGAGGTAGAGGTGCCTGCGCAGGAGGATAGGGAGGTGGGGGGTCAAGGAGGGTTAGGGAAGCTTGGTCCTCGGGGAAGACTGGTTTCTGCTTCTTCTCCTCAGAGGAAGACTGAAGGGGCAGGAGGGAGGAAGTGAGACTTAGGGGAGCAGAAGGGATAGGGGGTCCTTGATCATTCTCTCTGGTTCCCCGAGGAGGTAGGAACGGTTGTGCCCAAGATGTGGGGTTCCGAGCCAAGTCTTCCCAGGTGACTATGTAGGCCACCTGATCCGGGTGCCCATGTGGCCCTGGATGGAAAATGTATTCCTTAACCTGCAAAATAGTAGCAAGATCAAAAGTCCCATCCCTTGGCCATCCTTTTTCAAAGGAGGGCCACGTAGAGGAACAGAGACTTTGTCACTTCTTCTTCTGGACCTCTAATGATAGATTATGGGCTCGCTCTATAACTTCTTTCTAGTGTTCTAGAGTTAGACTCAAGGGAGTAATTAGTGATTGACCCATGGTGAAAGACTTTTAGGAGAGAAATGGAGAAAAGGAGGAAGAAAGAGAGAGAGAGGTAGAGAGAGAGAGATAGATGCCACTCCAAACAGTGATGACCAGTGAGTGTGCTTGTGGACGAGTACCTATCAGTGCCCAGTTTTTCTTCTGTGGGGGACGTGAATTTATCTGGGATTCACGTCTGGGACCCCCTTATCCTTTTACGGGAGTCTTTTAGCAGCAAGCGCCCTGTGGCTCTTACTTGCTTGACCCGTGCCCATGGGGCTTTTTAGTGGCTAGAGAGAAAGGAAGATATAAAGACCGTCCTGTCTCCACCTGTGTGGGCAGTCGGGATCCGCCAAGAGGGCTAAGAGCCTTTGGTTTACGTCAGGGAGTGGCCCTGACCAGAAAACCTCAATTGCTCCTTCACCTTTAATGGTCCCTCGCGAAGACTGGATCAAGAATAAAAGAGAAACAGAGAAGGCTTAAAATAGAGAGTGTAGAGAAAAATACAAACTAGATCTTTTTTTTTTTTTAAAGTAATAATATACTATTAAGTGCACACACACCGTGTTATATCACATTTAAATGGACCGGTCCTTCTTACACCCAGACACATACAGCACTCACCATTCTTACTTTCAGGATCCCCAAATACAGATACAGATAAACAAAAAACCTCGGCACGCTCTCTGACTCAAAAACTGAAAGTACAGACCGGGAGGGGAGTAGCCAAGCCAATCTCCCTTCTCCTGAGGTGAGGAGACACTGTCTTCCTCACTTCAGATCACTCTGGTCACTAGGGCCAGAATGCTGGAACCTGGGGTCTCTGGGCACGTCTGCCACTCCCCTTGGTTCCCAGAATACAGACTTACAGGTCCTGTACAGGCACAACTGTTCAGACGAAACGTTCCCAGAGCAGGAAATGACAGACAGACATTAAGACCAAGACAAACCACAAGACAAGTCTTACCTCCTGCTGATCTGAGGAAATGGGTCTGGGGGCGACCGAATCCTGGATGAGCCCCCAAATGTTGGACCCCTAGACTGGGGTACCCAATGTTCACGGGAGGTTGCACCCCAATGACTCAGTCCTCAGACCAGAAGATGCAACAGGCATGAGGATTATGTTTTGCAAAACAGACTCCCACCTCACTCAGAGGACAGAAGTCCAGAGCTCAGTTTACAGGTTTCTTTTAAAGACAAGTGACGGCTATGTGCCAAGCAGAAAAGCGGCGGCTATGTGCCAAGCAGAGGTAGGGGGAATTTCTGGGATGATTTCAGCTTGGGCAAAGGAGCATGAAAAAGGTCAGCTCAGCTTGTTCTTAGCATTCAGAATTATTTTTCATTTTTACTTCCTTGTACAGTTTTTTTCAGGCCTGGGGGATTTTAGTTTAAATCCATTATTCTGGGGGCTTTGGATCCATCAGTTATAGAATGCAGGTCAAATCCAAGAGACAGAATGGAATGGAGTTTCTCGGTATCTATGCAAACATCAGTTCACTACTGTTTTCTTTGCGTCTTCTCCCAACCTCAGCCTCCACCCCCAGTTCAAGCTGCCATCCTTGGCTTCCTAATTGGCCTCCCAGTTTCTTTTCCTGTTCTATCCTAACCCCTCCCAATCTACTTGCACATAGCAGTGTCCTTTTTTACATGCAAATATGACTGTGTCCCTTTTTAAAATTTAAAACTTTTGAATATCACAATATTCAAAAGCCAGAGAATATAATGCTGATAATTTTTAGAGCAAAAGTTTAAACTTCTGTTTAGAGTACTGGGTTTGGTGGCACATAACTATAATCCCAGCACTTGGAAACTAGAAGCAGGAAGGTCAGGAATTCAGTTCAGCCTTGACTTCTTAGGGAGTTCAAGGTCAGCCTGGCATCTATGAGACCTGTGTCAAAAAAAAAAAAAAAAAACACTTCTGTTTAGAAATAAATACCCCTAATAAAGTGAAAGAACAAGCTGAGAGAAACTAGGATTGTAGCACGTGCCTCCATCCCACTGCTGCTTCACACTGAAAAAAAAAACAAAACGTATTTTCTTTGTACAAGTGTTTGCCTGCATGTATGTGCACCCCATGTGTGCCTGGTACCCACAGAGGCCAGAAGAGGGTGGCAGATCCCCTGGAGATACAGATGGTTGTGAGCTTCCTGACATGGGTTCTGGGAACCAAACTCAGGACTTCTACAAGAGCAGAGAATGCTCTTAACCACTGAACCTTCTCCACCCACTTTGTTTCACTTTTTTTCATTCTTTTTGAGACAGGGTCTCCCTGTGGCCTCAGCTGGCCTGGAACTCTCTTATGTAAACCACGCTGGCCTCACTCTTACAGAGATCCACTGACCTCTGCCTCCAGAGTGCTGGAATTAAAGGTATGTGCCACCACACCCAGCTATACCACTCTTTTTTATGATATCTTTAGTATTGTATCTCATCAATGTGTCATACTTATTTTAACTCCATTTCTGATAGCTACCTTGGTTGTGTCTACCTTTTTTATTATTTGAATATGATTGTAATGAACATTTATATATGTATCTTGACAAACTTTTAGGGTAAGTCTACACACATACACAATGCTAGGCATCAAAATCCGGATCTTATGCATACTAGGTAAAAACTCTACCACTAAACTGATTTTTTGAGATAGGGTCTTGCTATGTAGCCCAGGCTGGTCTCTTGATCCTTCTGCCTCTATCTCCTGAGTATATTACAGAGATTATAGGTATATACCACTATACCCAGTTATGGTAGATTCTTAGCAGTGGAATTGCTGTATCATGTGTATTACAAATCTTTTTTGTTGTTTGCTTGCTTGCTTGTTTGTTTGAGACAGGCTCTAACTATGTAACCCACATGCTGGCCTTGAGTTCACAGAGCTCCACCTGCTTCTGCCTCCTGAGTGCTGAGATTAAAGGTGTGTGCCACCACGCCCAATAAATCTTATTATGTACTGCCAAATGGCTTTCAACAAGGTTGCACCAAGTCTGACCATTGGTTCTAAGAGTATCTGTCTACTTGCACCTTGACCAGGAAGAGTGTAAAAACAAGTAAATATTTTTCTTGCCCATTAGGGGAAAAAAAGTAATATTTCCTTGTCACTTTAATGTACATTTCTTTTTAAAAAAATTTTATTATTTTTATTTTACCTGTATGTGTGTATTGCCTGCATGTAGGTAAGTGCACCCATGTTGTGCAATGCCCTCGGAGGTCAGAAGAGACTGTCAGATCCCCTGGAACAGGAGTTACAGTTATTAGCTGCCATGTGGGTGCTGGGATTAGAACCTGAGTCTTCTGCAAGAACAGTGTGTCTATGCGGGTACCCGTAGAGGCCAGGAGAGGGTGTCAGATCTCCTGGAACTGGATTTACAGGCAGTTGTAGCCCCACCAGTATGGGTTCTGGGAAATAAACCCAGGTCCTCTGAAAGAGCAGTCAGCTCTCTTAACTTCTGAGCCATTGTAGTCCTGGTTTTTGTTTTCACTTTAATCATCTTTTCCATGTTTACAGCCTCCATCAGTTAGACTATGAGGTAAATTTAGGTTTATAAAGAAATGCAGGGGACCAATATGAGGATGAGAAGGGATGGGAGAACAATGGGCAGAAAAGAAACAAACGGTGCCTTTTTCTTTCTAGGGCATACCTGCTTGTCATCAGCTGGACACACTCAGATAGATGCTGTAAGCAGAGGTGTTTCAGGTCCTTCCAAACCAGAGAATCCAAACTCCTTCCTCCCAGGAAGCCTTCCTTCCCTTGTTTCTTACCTCTTTCCTCTGCCCTGCGTTACTCTGTCCTCTTTCTCCTTCCTGTTCTATTTTTCCAGGTCTCTTTGAGCTCAAATAGCAACTATACCATGGGCCTGAAATTTAATTTGTTAGTTGCTTCACTATAGTTTTTTTTTCCTGTATATTTATGGTATACTTGTGTATTTGCAGGTGCACATGTATGTACCTGCATGTAGAGGTCAAAGGTTGATGCTAGTGTCTTCCTCTATTACTCTTTTATTTTTTGGGGGGAGGGTGTTAAGACAAGGTCTCACTGTGTAGACCAGGCTGTCCTCAGTCTCACAGAAATCCACCTGCTTTTGCCTTCCAAATGCTGAGCTTAAAGGTATGCACCACCACACCTAGCTCCATCCTATGCTTTGAGACAGGGTCTCTCTTACTAAACCTAGAGCTCACCAGTTTGGCTAGACTGGCTGTCCAGTGAATTCCAGGGATCCACCTGTTTCTGCCCTCCCATCCCAAACCAAGATTACAGATGTGCATCTTCATGCCTGGCTTTTCTGGGGATCCAAATTCAAGCCATCTTGCTTACACAGCAAACAGTTTGACAACTGAGCCATCCCCCCAGCCCCAGTGAAGCCCTTAGGGATTGTTTTATCCTCTTTTCTTTTATGTTTTTCTTTTTTCAAGAAAGGAAGGAAGGAAGGAAGGAAGGAAGGAAGGAAGGAAGGGAAGGAAGGAGCGAGCACCGGAGGACAGCTTATGGTGTGTCATCTTGGGAAATGCTATCCAAAGTATGTGTCTCCATGCCCACCATTTTTCACATGGGTTCTATAGATCAGACTTGGATCGTTGTGCTTATTTCACTAAAGCTACTGAAGTTCTTTGCGCTTTTCCCTGTAATGCTGATGGGAAAATGGAAAGTCCCCTTTTCACCTGAACAAAAATGAGCATTAGTCACACAGAGCACAGATCTGCTGCTTCAGTCTGCCCATGGTCCCTTTTCTTCCCAGCTCTGTTCTGAGCACACTGTCTCACACTTCAAGTTCTCCTTCCCACAGCTTGGCTGTGTGGCTGACCTCCATGCTGGCTTAACTCAGTGGAATGGCTTTTTTTTCCCCCTTCTCTATTTTCCTCCTCTCAGCAACTGCTGAGGTTTACAGCATGCCTGGGGTTTTCTTTTAAACTCTAATAAAATTGTCCTCAAGCTTGTAAAAAAAGAAAGGTACATTAAATATCATATAAATCATTGTTGAGAAGTCTTGAATCTATCAACTTGAATTTTTTAAAAAAATTCTTACCAATAAGCTTTATATTTTAAATATTTTATTTTTTAATTATTTTTATTTTATGTGTGTGAGTGTATTGCCTGCATTCATGTAAGTGCATGCCCATGTCATGCTATGCTCATGGAGGTCAGATCCCCTGGAACTGGAGTTAGGGACAGTTGTTAGCTGCCATGTGGGTGCAGGTCCTCAGCAAAAGCAGTCAGTACTCTTAACCACTGAGCCATCTCTCCAGCCCCAAGCTTTATATTTAAACACAATAAACTATGCAAAAATTTTTGTTTTGAGACAGGGTCTCACTGTGGCCCTGGCTAGCCTGAAACTTGCTATGTAGACCAGGCTGGCCTCAATCTCACCGAGATTGCTTCTGCCTCCTGAGTGCTGGGATTAAAGGCATGTGCTACCTCATCCTGCAACTATGCAAAATTTTAACTTAATATTTTTTTAATTTTATTTATTTTTTTAAATTTTATGTGTATTGCCTGCATATAGGTAAGTGCACCCGTGTCATGCAATGCCCGTGGAGGTGAGAAGAGGCTGTCAGATCCCCTGGGACTGGAGTTACAGACAGTTGTTAGCTGCCATGTGGGTACTGGGATTCGAACCCAGGTCTTCTGCAAGAACAACCAGTGTTCTTAACCACTGAGCCATCTCTCCTGCCCTTTAATATTTTATAATTTTTCTTCTGTCATCCTGGATGTCTCATTAAAGGAGAAATGTCATAGCCTTGCACAGCTATGCTCATGCCTTGATAAAAAGTTGAAAATTATTTAGTTGTTAAAAGAGCAGTAAAGTACTCAAGGGGAAAAAGGAAGCTGTAATGTATTTCTTCTTCCTTTGGCAGATTCACTTATGCTGAGTTCACCTCTTCTTAGAAGCAGACAGCTTCTTTATGATGAATTCAATGAAGTGAACCCACGTCTTCGAGAACCCCGAGAGCTCTTATTTTTCTCTAACAGAGGGCTACTACAAACTCCAAGATGGCCGATAGAATGCGAGGTCATCAAGGAAAACATTCGTCATATTGGTAATGTGATATGTGTGTGTTGGATATAATTTCTTTGGCATCTAACATATATTTTGAGACAGGCTCTGTCATTGAAAACAAGAACTCCTGGTTTAGACTAGATGAGCCGACCAGCTGGTCCCAGGAATGCACCTGTCTCCAGCTCTCCAGCACTGTGTTACAGGTTCCCACCACCATTCCCAGCTTTTGTGTGTGCTCTGGGTACCACACTCAAGTCCTGTGCTTGCACAGTAAGCACTTTACCAATGGAGCCATCTCTTCAGCCTTTAGAATTTAGTAGTTTTACTGCTCAGCCATCTCCCTGGCCCTCCACCTTGTTTGTTTGTTTTTTAATTTTATGTATTATTTGTGTGTGTGCATGCATATGCATGCACATACCATGGCATGCACATGGAGGTCAGAGAACAACTGTGTAGAGTCAGTTTTCTCCTTCAGCTTTACATGGGTTCCAGAGACCAAATTCAGGTTATCAGGTTTGCATGGCAAGCACCTTATCCACTGAGCTACCTTACTGCCCCCTACCTTACTTTTTGAGACAGGGTCTCTCACTGCACATGGAGCTATCAGTTCAACTAGGTAGGCTGGCCACTGAGCTCTGGTATCTGCTTGTCCATGCCTCTCCAGCACTGGAGTTCAAGACCCACTCTGTCATACCTGAGTTTTTATGAGGTGCTGAGTTTATTTGAACTCAGGTCCTCAGACTTCTGTAGCAGGCCCTTTGAAGACAGCCTGCTTTTTAATTTTAAAAGACTTATTTTATTTTTATTTTTGTGTATGAGTCTATGTCTGAGTGAGTGTATGCCATGTGAGAGTGGGTGCCCATGGAAGCCAGAAGAGGGTGTTGGATCCTCTGGAGCCGGAGTTACAGGCATTTGTAAACCATCATATGGGTGCTGGGAAATGAACTTGGGTCCTTTGGAAGAGCAGCAAGCATTCTTAAGCTCTGAGCCATTTCTCCAACTACTCCTCCTCCATACTTGTTGTTGTGGTTTTTTGTTTTTGTTTTTGTTTTTTATTTTGAGACAAATTCTCACTGTGTAGCCCAGACTAGCCTGGAACTCAGTAGGTAAACCAGGTTGGCCTTGAACTTGCAGTGATCATCTTGCTTCTGACTTCTGAGTGTTAGAATTATAGGCATAAGTCACCATGCATAACTTATTTTGTGATTCATTGACAGAGTGGCTTTCATTAAAAAATGGAAAAAATTTTGAAAATCGGAAAATGCTTCAACATTTAGTCTAAATACTATGTCAGCTCTAGACTACTGATATTCCTGCTCTCACTGCCTTCTTATAACACTCATTCAATAAATACACATTAGCACTTACCATGTGCAGAGTACAGTGCTTGGTGCCAGACATATACTAACCATGGGTGCAATTACACACATGCAGGCAATACACTCAAGCACATGTCATGTGGAAACAAGAAAGACCTTCCTCAGCAATGTGGAAGGCAAGAACCAACTCCTGAAAGTTGTCCTCACCGTGCTTCTACTCACACATACAAAAATAAATTTTTTTTTTGGTCTTTTTGAGACAGGGTCTCCCTGTAGCCCCAGCTGGCCTGGAACTCACTATGTAAACCAGGCTAGCCTTGAACTCACAGAGATCCACCTGCCTCTGCCTCCCGAGTAATGGGATTAAAGGTGTGCGCCACCACGCCCGGCCCAATAAAAATTTTTAAATAGGGGACTATGCTGGCATGGTGGCTCATGCCTTTAATACCAGAACTCAGGAGGCAAGGGCAGGCAGATCTCTGTGAGTTCAAGGCCAGCCTGGTCTACATAGTGAGTTCCAGGCCAGCTGGGACTACAGAGAAACCCTGTCTCAAAAAGACAAAAAAATAATAATAATAAAATAAAATAGGGGACTAGAGAGATCGATGGCTCAGTGGTTAAGGGCACTGACTGCCTTGCAGAGGACCCACATGGTAGCTAACAACCATCTGTGACTCTAGTTCCAGGGGATCTAAGGCCCTTGTCTGGTGTCTGAGGGCTGCACTTATATACATGCAGGCAATGAACTCTAAAACACATAAATGAATTTTTAAAAAATTAAATAGCAGAGGCAGGCAGAACTCTGTGGGCTTGAGGCCAGTCTACATAGGAAGTTCTAGGCCAGCTGGGGCTGCAGGGAGACCCTGTCTCAAAAAGACCAAAAAAAAATTAAATAACATTTGTGATTTTATTGTATATGCTCTTTTTCTTCAGTGCTAGGGATCAAACTCAGTGCCTCATGCATGCAAGGAAGCAGTCCAGTACTGATATGCTACCATTTGACATGCTGTTTGCTGAATGTCTTCTCATCCTCAGAGAGAAGCATAACACTATTAATTTACAAACAGCTGGGAACTTGGGCTGAGAATTAGGATTGAACCAAGTTAATCATTTGGGTAATTATAATTTTGTTTTGATTGTGCCTTTTATATTTCTTATTCTGTGCTTTTTAAAATGTCTTCTTTCAGAGTGGGTTCCACCTCAACCAGAAAATTTCTATCAACCTACAGGAAATGAAAAAGTACCAGAGATTGTAGGGGAGGACCAAGGCACAGTCGTTTACCAGTTAGATTCAGGTATTGTCATTGCACCGAACAGTGAGCGTGGGAAATCATGGGAAAGTGGCAGTAAGCGCACTGCATATAGCAAGGTGATTTTAATTTTACAGTTGGAGGACAACTTTATGGAGTCAGTTCTGTCCTTCCACCTTTATATGAGCCACTCAAGTCATCAGGTTTGCGCAGCAGGTGCCTCAAACCCACTGAGTCATCTCACCAGCCTCAACAGAGATTTTTAAAATTGAAACTTTAATGATAAATAAGCTGTCTTTTCCCTATCAACCTGTGTGGAAGCCTGATAAGTTATGACCAGTCAACTGTAAATTTTCAGTAGTCTTAAACATAGTACATTTTTCTTTTGTTTTTGAGAATTGTTACCACATTATGTGAATTGGATCATCTTAAATGTTTCTTCAAGATAACTGAAGAGAATAATGAAATTTCTCTATTAGTGGCATCTGGTTGCTAATCTGTGTTTTGCAGTTCCATGAAGAAACTGAACTATGTGTGGTTCCAGGTATAAGTTAGAGTTAGATTGTACATACTATTAGTTTTGTTTCTGTTCCTTCTTTCTCTGTCTTCTTTTACTTCTTTGTTATAGTTTATACTCTAGCTGTTTATTATCCAATTTCTATAGTGACAAGATTGTATATGGAAGCAAAAGTCTTTAGAAAGACATGTTTACTAATGAACAGTTGGTTAAAAATCAGATCCATGAGGCTAGAGAGATGACTCAGCAGTTAAGACCCTGTTGGTCTTCACTTGACTCACGTTCTGTTCCCAGCACCATCAGCAGCTCACAATCACCTGTAACTCCAGCTCCAGGGGATCCAGTGCCCTTTTTTGGCCTCAGAGGGCACCTGTACACAGGTGGTCTACACACATAAATTTAAAAAATTAAAAATCAGATCCCTTTCAAACACTGCTATTTGTTTGATGCCCCTTGGTCAACATCTTTGATGACAGTTTTGGTGACTGTAAATATTGTTAGTATCTGACAGTATGATGTGATTGTAAAAACTCCTAGCCATTGTGATCTTTATAATAAATGCAGGATTGTAGGCAGTATCAATCGGAATGTTTAAACATTGCTTTAATCACAGTCATTGACAGGAAGTGAAAAAATTTTCATTAAGTTAAAGAGAAAAATTTAAAAAGATGATAAAATAGGTCCTCCTGGACACAATACTGAAAATACTGTGGGAAAAACAGAAATCTTTGGAAAAACTATGAACATCTAAAGTAGTTTTGCAATAGTAACTACAAAACTTGAGGCTATTAGGCAGGAATATAGCTTACTTGGTGAAGTCCTTTCCTAGCATGCATGAAGCCCTGGGTTTGATCCCCAGCACCAGAGAATGGTAAGAAGAAGTGCCTATAATCGTAGCACTGAGGAGGCAGAGGTTGGAAGATCAGAAGTTCAAGGTAAGCCAGAGTACATAGGCCAGCTGGAACACATGAAATCCTGTCTTTTTTAAAAAGTATTTTATTTCTTATTTTTATTTTATGTGTATTAGTGTGTTGCTTCCATGTATGTAAGTGCACCCATGTCATGTAGTGCCCGAAGAGGTCAGAAGAGGGAATCAAATCCCCTGGAATTGTAGTTAGTGACCGTTGTTAGCTGCCATGTGGGTGTTGGGAACCAAACCCAGGTCTTCTACAAAAGCATCAAGTGCTCTTAAACACTGAGCCATCTCTCCAGCCCCGAGATCCTGTCTTTAAAAAAAAAAAGGAAAATAAATAAGTAAATTTTTTTTTAAATTGAGAATGTAGGCCAGGCATGGTAGCACACTTGAGAGGCAGAAGCAGGCAGCTCTCTGTGAGTTTGAGGTAAGCTAGCTGGCACTACAGGGAAACCCTGTCTCAAAAAGACCAAAAAAATGCCTGGCCTGGTGGCACACGCCTTTAATCCCAGCACTTGGGAGGCAGAGGCAGGCAGATCTCTGGTGAGTTCAAGGCCAGCCTGGTCTACATAGTGAGTTCCAGGCCAGCTGGGGCTACAGGGAGACCCTGTCTCAAAAAAGACACACACACACACACACATTCAATAATTATTATTCCAAAGATTAGGAGGGGATAATTATAAATAATCTAAATTTTCTTTGTTGTAAAAATTGCATTTATTTGTTTTTGTGTATGTATGTATATCTGTGGGCACATGTGTGCCATGGTACATGTATAGAGGTTAGAGGACAACCTCCAAGAGTCTTCTCTCTTCTCCTCCTACCATGTGAGTCCCAGGGATCGAACTCTGGTTGTCAGGCTTGGTGGCAAGCACCTTTACCTGCTGAACCATCTTGAAGGCCCACCCAAATTTTCTTGTTTCATTTTTTTCAGACAGGTTTTCCCTATAATCCCTGCTGGCCTCAAACTTACTCTGTAGACCAGGCTGCCTCAGTCTCACAGAGATCCATCTGGCTCTGCCTTCTGAGTGCTGGGATTAAAGGCATGTGCCACCAGCCTGGCTTGCTTTGTTTTAAAGCTAGCATGCTAATTGTGACCTTTTATTTTTCACTAATAACTGACATTTTGTTCCCCTTTAGGCAAATTTACCCATGCTAATTCTCAAACTTCTTTTTTCATTTTATTCTGGAAGGATATGCCAAAACATATGGAATACTCTTTATTTTCCATTTTCCCTTTATCTTCATTTATTTTATATATTTTTTTTATTTTATGTGTATGAGTGTATTGCCTGCATGTATGTAAGTGTACCCGTTGTGTATTGCCCATGGAGGTCAAAAGAGGGCGTTCACATCCCCTGGATTTGGAGTTACAATCAGCTTGTTAGCCACAATATGGGTACAGGGAATCAAATCTTGGTCCTCTAAAGAGCAGTCAGTGCTCTTAATCACTGAGCCATCTCTCCAGTCTCATTTTCCCTTTATCTTTAAAAAATTAATAGGTCCAAAGCTGGGTGTGGTGGCACACACCTTTAATCCCAGCAGACACAGGCAGATCTCTGTGAGTTCAAGGCCAGCCTGGTCTTCATAGTGAGTTTAGGCCAGCTGGGGCTACAGGGAGACCCTGTCTCAAAAAGACAAAAAACAGTAGGTCCTATTTGAGGTTTTTTTGTAGAATAAGATCATAGATGTTTCCAGATCTTTCATATAAGGTAGCTGAATACTAGTTTCTGATTTGAACATTTATAATTTTAAGGCTAGTTTGTTTTGTTTTGTTTTGCTTTGTTTTGTTGAGACAGGATCTCACCATGTAGCCCTGGTCTAGAACTAGCTGTGTAGACTAGACTGGCCTCAAGCTCCTGAGTGCTGGGGTTAAAGGTGTGCACCATCATGCCTGGTCCATTTTGGTTTTTTGTGGCAATCCTCCAGCCTCAGCTTCCTCAGTGTTGGGATTAGAGGAGAGTACAACTGTGCCCAGCTAGGATAGCAGTTTTCACCAATATTCTTTTAAATTAGGATTGGAAACAAACAGTATCTGCAACACCAAGAGAAGCTTTGAGGCAAAAGCAAGTGCTCTAAGCCACTTAAAGGACTTCAGAGCAATACACCATTGAGAATTAAAGGTCTTGCCTGAGGATGTAGCTTAGTGTGAGGAGCTGACCTGACATGGGTGAGTCCCCCACTACCATACATAAAGGCATCTAAACATCAATAAAACGGGAGCATCTCAGTAAGGACATTTGAAAATTAAATATTCTGTGAATATTCATAGGGTTGACAGGGCTCAGTAAAAACATGCTGAGCAAATGGTTTCTAAATGGAACATAGCCTAATGGTGTCTTTCTCATCTGCAGTGCCCACTGAAGGCACCTATTTCACCAGTTCCAGAATGGGAGGCAAACAAGGAAGTATCAAAGAACTAGCTGTCACGTTGCAAGGGCCAGAAGATAATACTCTGTTGTTTGAATCAAGGTTTGAGAGTGGGAATCTGCAAAAAGCTGTCAGAGTGTGAGTAACCAGGAATTTCTCAAAGAATGATGGATGACTCTGAGATGTCTTTAGGAATGATTTCAGGAATTCAGAGTGTTTGCAAAAAAGAGAGAGGTGGTGGAAAACTGTTATGGGGATGAAGAATAATTATGACTCACTTTTCCCCATAATAAAATGTTAAATTATTTCTTTGTCTTCTACAAAAAAAAAAAAAGCTCACTTAAAATTTTTATTAGTGGGCCAGCAAGATGGCTTAGCCACACAAGCTTGCCACACAAGCTTGCCAACCTGAGTTCAACCCCAGAACCCATTTAAAGGTGGAAGGAGGCTGAGTATGGTGGCACACGCCTTTAGTCCCAGCCTGGTCTGCATTATGAGTTCCAGGACAGCTGGGGCTACAAGGAGACCCTGTCTCAAAAATACCAAAACAAACAAACAAACAAATAAATAAAAATTAATTAATTAGTTAATTAATAATAAAAGCGGAAGGAGAGAACCAACTCCACAAGAGTTGTCCTATGACCACATGCATGCCATGACACACCCACATACACAACGATAATAAATAAAACATTTTTAAAATATTTGTATTAGTGGGCTAGGTATGGCAGCATAGACCTTTAGTCCCAGCACTCTGGAGGCAAAAGCATGTGGATCTCTGAGTTCAAGGCCATCCTGGATTATATAGCAAGTTCAAGGTCAGCCAGACCTACATAATGAGACCCTGTCTCAAAAAAAAAAAAAAAATTAGTGCTGGGCATGGTGGCACATGCCTTTAATCCCAGCACTTGGGAGGCAGAGGCAGGCAGATCTCTGTAAGTTCAAGGCCAGCCTAGTCTCCATAGCGAATCCAGGCCGGCTAGGGCTACAGGGAGACCCTGTCTCAAAAAGACCAAAAAAAAAAAATTAGTAAAAAAATCTATGTAATATAAAGGGCCTATAAATGTAAACACACACAGCACACACATTTGGGGAGGGTCATGTTGAGACAAGGTATTACTTGGTAGCACAGGCTGGCTTCAAACTCAAAGCTATTCTCTTACTTTAGCCTCCCCAGGCCTGGGATTACAGATGTGAGTTACCATGCCTGGCTAACAAATTTGTGTGTGTGTGTGTGTGTGTGTGTGTGTGTGTGTGTGTGTTCCTGTGGAGCTGTAGTTACAGGTAGTTATGGGTAGTGGGATCAAAGTTGGGTCCGTTGTAAGAGCAACAAGTGCTGTTAACCACTGAGCCACCTGTACATGTACCATGTGTGCAGTGCCTGTGGAGGCCTTAAGAGGTCGCCAGATCCCCTAGAACTGGAGTTATGAATGGTTGCTAGCTGCTATGTTGGGTGCTGGGAACCAAACCCAGGTCCTCTGCAAGAGCAACTAGTGCTCTTAACTGCTGAGTCATCTCTCCATACCCACATTTTTTTTTTTAACTTTTTTGAGACAGGGTCTCCCTGTAGCCCCAGCTGGCCTGGAACTCACTGTGTAGACCAGGCTGGACTTAAACTCACAGAGATCTGCTTGTCTCTCTCTAAATATCTTTTTTAAAATATTTTTATTTTTAGCTGGATGTGGTGGCACATGCCTTTAATCCCAGCATTGGGAGGCAGAGGTAGGTGAATCTCTGTGAATTTAAGGCCAGCCTGGTCTACATAGCCAGTTCCAGGCCAGCTGGGGCTACAGGGAAACCCTGTCTCAAAAAGACCAAAAAATATTTCTTCTATATTTATGTATATGTGTGTATGTGAGTGTGTGCCACTTGTGTACACAGAGGCCAGAAGATCCCCTGGAGCTGGAGTTACAGGCAGTTGTGAGCCACCTGATATGAGTGCTAGGAACCAAACTTGGGCCCTTAGGAAGAGGATCAAGTGCTCCCAACTTCTGAACTAGCTCCCCAGCACCATAAGACAAAATTTTAAAAATAAAATGAAAGGGCTAGAGAGGTGGCTCAGGGGTTAAAAGCACTTGCTGTTCTTCCAGAGTACCCAGGTTTGAATCCCAGCACCCACCTGTCACCCTCTGTATTAGTCACTTTTATGTTGCTGTGATAGAAACACTGACTCAAGCAATTTATAGAAGGAAGAGTTTATTTGAGCTTGCAGTTCCAGGGGAATTACAGTCCATCATGGCAGGGAGGCATGGTGGCTGGAGGTGGCTGGAGCAGGAGCAGCAGAAACGAAGCGCTCACATCATCACACAGGCACAGGAAGCAAGCAAGAGAGCCATTGGAGATCTGGCAAGGCTTAGGAACTCTCTAAGCCCACCCTCAGTGATGTGCTTCCTCCAGGATAGCCACACCTTCTAAAACCTCCCAAGACAGCACCATCATCTGGGGACAAAATATCCAAACACTTGGAGCCTATGGGGGACATTTTCATTCAAACCACCACACCCTCTTCCAGCTTCATGGACACTACACATATATATACCAACATAAATATGGGTAATCAAAACACTTGTACAAATAAACATAGATAAATCACTTAAAATAAATAAAATTAAAAATTCTAAACCTGACATGGTAGCACATGCCTGGAATCCCAGCACTTGTAAGGAAGAGGTAGAAGGCTTGCAAATTCAAGGCCAGTTTGGCCTGTAATATGAGAAAAATCAAATAAATAAACACCTAACTGTTGGACAATGGTAACAATGCTTTATAAATCTCTTTTTCCCCACGTGAATAAATTTTAGGTATATTTCTATGACAGAACCACAGATATGCCTCCTTATTGTTGTTTGTACAAGCTGGGCCTAGTGACTCACAAGCCTGAGGGAGGGAGATTATTTAGCCCAGAAGTTCAAGGCTAGCCTGGGTAAATGGTAAATGGTGCAAAACCTCATCTAATAGAATAGAATAGAGCAGAACATGAATAGTATTCTAGTCTTCAGTCTTTCCATACCTTATTTACCCGATCCTTGATGGTTAATTACAGTATTTAGTTTTTTATTTAATTAGACAATGAACATTCTTATGCATCTTTTTAAATATTTATTTTATTTTATGTGCATGAGTGTATTGCCTGCATGTATGTGAGTGCACCCATGTCGTGCAGTGCTACAGAGATCAGAAGAGGGTTTTGAATTCCCCTGGAACTGGAATGCCATCATGTGGGTACTGGGAATCAAACCCAGGTCCTCTGCAAGAGCAGTCATTGCTCTTAACTGCTGAGCCATCTCTCCAGCCCCACATTTTATTTTTTAATTAAAAAAATTTTGTATGTGTATGTGAGTGTTATGCCTGTGTGTATGTAAGTACACCCATGTCATGCAATGCCCATGGAGGTCAGAAGAGGGCATCAGATCCCCTGGAACTGGGTAGGAATGATAGCTGCCATGTGGGTGCTGGGAACCAAACCCAGGTCCTCTGCAAGAAGAGCCAGTGCTCTTAAAGGCATGCACGACCATGCCCAGCTTTATTTTTTATTTTATGTGTATGAGTGTTATGCCTGCATGTATGTAAGTGCACCAGTGTCAGGCAATGCCCACAGAGGTCAGAAGAGGGCATCAGATACCCTAGAACTGGAGTTAAAGACAGTTGTTAGCCACCATGTGGGTGCTGGGATTTGAACTTGGGTCCTCTACAAGAGCAGTGTGTGCTCTTAACAACTGAGCCATCTCTCCAGCCCCAATAATCATCAATTTAATAGTCTCCTCCACAGTGTGATCTGATCTGTAGGATGGATAGCTAGCAAACAACAGAGGGTGCTGTTCAGTGTGTTTTAGAGACATGCACAGCAATGCTGTGTATAGCGAGATACCAAGAAGCTAATAGAACTTTCAAACATCCCATGAAGCAGTAGATTTGTTTGTTTGGTGGGTTTTGTTTGCTTGCAACAGAGTTTCCTTATGTAACCCAGGCTAGACTCAAAGTCACTATATAACCCAAGCTGGCCTTGAATGTGTCCTCCTGCCTCAGCCTCCCAAGGCATTATAGGTGTGTGCCACCACACCAAGGTCACAGTGAGTTTTAAGATTCTTTTTTTTTTCTTTTGGTCTTTTTGAGACACAGTCTCCCTGTAGCTCCAGCTGGCCTGGAACTCGCTGTGTAGACCAGGCTGTCCTTGAACTCATAGATCTGCCTGTCTCTGCTTCTGAAGTGGTGGGATTAAAGGTGTGTGCTTCCACCTCCGCTGCTGCCTCCACCACCCCCAGCAAGTTTTGAGATTCTTATTCTTTACCCCAAATTCTCCTCTCACAGGTTTGTTAAATCTGTGACTTGGAGAACTAGGTAAGTTAGAAAATAAGCATTTGCTGTAGCAAGCTTCTCTGCTGTAGCCAGTATGTTTTTATAAGGGAAAAACAATGTTTTCCCATATTTCTGTTTTTGAAGGAGAGGCTGCAAGTTTATAGAAATGTTCTTTTTTTCCGTTACAGAGGTGCCTATGAATATGAACTCACCTTGCGAACTGATCTCTACACAGCCAAACACACTCAGTGGTTTTATTTTAGAGTTCAGAACACCAGAAAAGATGTCACTTATCGCTTCACTATTGTCAACTTCCTGAAACCCAAGAGCCTTTATGCAGTAGGGATGAAACCTCTCATGTACTCTCAGTTGGATGCTACCACCTACCACATTGGTTGGAGGAGAGAAGGACATGAAATCAAGTACTACAAGAGCAACATGGATGATGGGCAGCAGCCCTTATACTGTCTCACCTGGACCATTCAGTTTCCTCATGACCAGGACACTTGCTTCTTTGCACATTTTTACCCATATACTTACACTGATTTGCAGTACTATCTCTTATCAGTGGCAAACAACTCCATCCAGTCTCAGTTCTGCAAGCTCCGAGCCTTATGCAGAAGCCTAGCGGGAAATACTGTCTATTTACTCACCATCACCAACCCATCCAGGAGCCCTCAAGAGGCAGCTGCAAAGAAAGCCGTGGTCTTGAGTGCTAGAGTCCACCCTGGAGAAAGCAATGGCTCTTGGATTATGCAAGGCTTTTTGGACTTCATCCTTAGCAACTCCCCAGATGCCCAGCTCCTCAGGGATATATTTGTCTTCAAGGTGATTCCAATGTTAAATCCAGATGGCGTGGTTGTGGGGAATTACAGGTGCTCATTGGCTGGAAGGGACTTGAACAGGCATTATAAAACCATTCTGAAGGACTCTTTCCCTTGCATTTGGTACACCAAGAACATGATCAAAAGGTGAGACCTCTTTGTTGATAATTATGAGTGCTGTGAGCATAGTGCCAGGTGCCCCTATCTTATGAGGAGGAAGGTCTTGTTTCTTGTTGTGGGAGTCAGGTACAGCTTTGGCAAGCCTTTGTAGTCAAATGGGTTTGTTAATTTTCAGACTCTTGAATCACATCAGATCTCTGAAAGAAAACCAAACATGCAACATATCATTTGTTTCAGTTTTTGTGTATGGTATATGTCTGAGGGTACACATATGTATGTTTGTGGGTTCACCTGTATGTATGTAGAGGCCAAAGATCAATGGTGGGTGTCTTCATCTATTGCTGCTCTTCTTGTTTCTTGAGGCAGAATCTCTCACTGAACTTGGGGCTCCCTATTTTGACTGGACTGACTAGCTACCAGGCCCCTGGGATCTGTCTCCAAACCCCAACCAGTGCTGAGGTTGTATATACTACTATGCCTAGCTTTTATGTGTGCGCTGGAGATCTGAACTCAGGTCCTCATGCTTGTGCAGCAAGCACTTTACCCATTGAGCCGTCTCTAAAGCCCCAGTTTTCATTTTTAAGTGAAACAATTGAATGGAAAATGTCAGCTTGCCTCTGCCTCCCAAGTGTTGGGATTAAAGGCGTGTGCCACCATGCCCGGCCCATTGTTCTTTTTTTTCGTGTTTTTTTTTTTTTTTCATCTTTTTGAGACAGGGTCTCCCTGTAGCCCCAGCTGTCCTGGAACTCACTATGTAGACCAGGCTGGTCCTGAACTCACAGAGATCCGCCTGCCTCTTGCCTCCGGAGTGCTGGAATGAAAGGCGTGTGCCACCATGCTCGGCTTCATTGTTCATTTTTAAGTGAAACAATTGAACAGAAAAGGTCAGAGGAGTTCACATGAAACTATGTAATCATAATAGTAGCCAACAATTTGTGCTTAAGTATAAAGTAACAGGCTCCATGATCAATGCTTTTTACATTAGCCCATTAATCTCCACATTAACCCTAGGAGGTTACATAAGGCTGATATCCTTTCTTGCATATGATAAGGAAACTGCAGTCCAGAAATGTTAAATAACTTGAACAAGGAAGGCTCAAGGTCTTACAGCTAGTAAGCAACAGAGTAGAGTTTGTTTTGGTTTGGTTTTTTGGTTTTAAGACAGGGTCTCACTATGTTGATCTAGCTGGCTGGAACTCCCCCTGAGGCTGGCCTCAAATCTGTCTCTGCCTCTTGAGTACTGGGATTAAAGGTGCACACCACCATGCCCAGCTGACAAAGTAGACATTTGAATATGGGCTCTCTGGTTCCAGAATCTGAGTCCCTATTACCATCCTACGATGTTTCTAAGAGAAAGAAATAAGTCTGCACTTTTCAAGCCTGTGTGAAAGCAGCTTAAAGCTGTCAGGTAACAGCACCATCTTAAAGGAGTTTCCGTTCTGCTGGAAGAGAACTCACAGCAGATAAGAGATCAGTGAAATTTTCTATTCAAACCTGTGAACAGCTGTGGTGAAGGTTAGGCTGACATGTGTTTGGCTCACATGTGAGAACTGGTTTTACTACTGACTGATTCTGTGACCATCAGCAAGTGATTTAATCTCTTGAGTTTGAATGTCCACTGAGTCCTTTGTTCACCCCCTCAATAGACTTCTGGAAGAAAGAGAGGTTCTCTTGTATTGTGATTTCCATGGGCACAGCCGTAAGAACAATATCTTCCTCTATGGCTGTAACAGCAACAGTCGCAAGCACTGGCTTCATGAGCGTGTCTTTCCTTTAATGTTAAGCAAAAATGCACCAGATAAGGTAAGCATGTAATTTTCTGACCACTGGCTGGGGGATAATGGAATGCACAGCCTCTTAGATGAAGTGGCTTATTTGGTATTATCATTGGTTAAATCCCAGCAACCTAGATGTAAAGAATTTAGAAAAGTATGACTTTCAGAATTGCTGGATCTGTCAACTGATGAGCAGATGAATAAAATGTGTAATATCCATACAGTGAAGTGTTATTTGTGCTAACATAAGATTTAAGTGCTGGTATGCCAGGACACAGGTGAACCTTGAGCACATTAACCTAAGTGAGAGAAGCCATATACAAAGTCGTATGATTCCATGGTACACACTGTGCAGAAAAGGCAAATCTTGTTTTTTGTTGTTGTTGTTTTTGTTTGCCATGTTGAGAATTGATGACCAGGACCTTGCTTGAGCCAGGCAAGTGCTTTATCTGCAGCCCAGAAAAGGCAAATTTTACTTATTTATTGTCCTAGTTTGTTTCTTCATTGCTGTGACAAAATACTCTGACCAATACCAACTTGGGGAGGAAAGGGTTTATTCAGCTTACATCTCCCAGGTCACAGTTCATCAGAGAGCCCAAGGAAGGAACTCAGGGCAGGAACCTGGAAGCAGGAGCTGGAGCACAGGCCATGGAGGAATGCTACTTACTGGCTTGCTCCCCTGGCCCCTGCTCAGCCTGCTTTCTTATGCAACACAGGCCCACCTGCCCAGGGGTGGCACCACCCACAGTGGGCTGGGCCCTCCCACATCACTCATCAAGAAGATGCCCCTCAGACATGGCCACAGGCCAGTCCAATTAGAGGCAATTCGCCAACTGAGGCTTCCTCAACCCAGGTGTGTCAAGTTGACACTAAAGGTATCCAGCACATACATTTATTTATTTATTTATTTATTATTTATTTATTTATTTATTTATATATTTCTTTTGGGGAGGTGGAGCAGAAGCATTACACAATAGTACAAGTATAGAGGTCAGAGGACAACAGGAGTTAATTCTCTCTTCCCGCCATATGGGTTCTTCAGATTGAACTGCAGTCATCAGACTTGGCAAGGTGTCTTTACCCACTGAGACATCTTGCAAATCTACAGAGCCAGAAAGTGGTTCAGTGAGTTCCCTAAGGCTGGAGGGTGTTTGTGTGTATGTATGTGTATGTATGTTTGGGGTGAAGGGGTTGAATGGGAAAAGACTGCTAATGAGTATTGTTTCTTTCTTTCTGGTTTTTGTCTTTTTTCCTGTGCTACTTACTGGGTATCAGTCTGGAGCCTTGTGCATGGTGGGCAAGTGCTCCACCACCAGCTACATCCCCAGGCCATAAGTTTCTTTTTGTGGTAATGGAAATGTTCTAAATTTAGATTGTGGTGATGGTTGAACAATTGTGTAAATATACTAAACCATTAAATTGTATACTTTACTTTTTTAGTTTTTTTTTTTTTATGTGTATGAGCGTTTTGCCTGCATGTGTGTGTATGTGTTCCATAGCCATGCCTGGTGCCCATGGAAGTCAGAAGAGGGTGTCAGATCCACTAGAACTGGAGTTATAGATGGCTGTGAACCCAGAGCCAGAGCAATTTTAAAAAATTATCTTCAGGGCTGGAGAGATGGCTCAGCGATTAAGAACACTGGTTGTTCTTGCTGAAGACCCGGGTTTGAATCCCAGCACCCACATGGCAGCTAACAACTGTCCATAACTTCAGTCCTAGGGGATCTGACAGCCTTTTCTGACTTCTGCAGGCATTGCATGACACAGGTGCACTTACCTACGTGCAGGCAATACAGGCATACACATAAAATAAATTTTAAAAATTATCTTCAGAGCTGGGTGGATGGTGCACGCCTTTAATCCCAGCACTCAGGAGGCAGATGCAGGCAGATCTCTGTGAGATCAGGCCAGCCTGGTCTACATAGTGAGTTCCAGGTCAGCTAAGGCTATAGGGAGACACTGTCTCAAAAAGGCCAAAAAAAAAAAATTATCTTCAGATGGAATTGAGCTCAGTGACAGAGCAATACGCTTAGCATGGATGAGATCCCAAGTTCAGCCCATAAAAAATGTTTTATTGAGATAATTCACACATGAAAAAAATTCATTTAAAGTATATGATCACAAAAGCAAAGTATGTAATTCAGTCAGACATGGTAGTACATACCTGTAATGCTTGTACTTGGAAGGCAGAAGCAGGAGGATTATTGCAATTGTGAGGCCATCCAGGTCAACATAGAACTTTCCAGGACAGTCGGCTACACAGTGAGACCATGTCTCAAAAGCAAACACAAAAAATTGGGGCTGGAAAGATGGCCAGTGGTTAAGAGCACTGGCTGTTCTTGCAGAGGACCTGGATTTGGTTCCCAGCACCACGTGGTGGCTAACAACTATCCCTAACTAGTTCCAGGGGATCTGACGTCCTCCTTTGTCCTCTAAGGGTATTGCATGCTTGTGGTGAACTTACATACATGCAGGCAAAACATTCATATACATAAAATAAAAATAAATCTTTAAAAAAGAAAAAAAAACTGGGCATAGTGGTGCACGCAGACACATCTCTGTGAGTTCAAGGCCAGCCTGATCTATACAGGGAGACCCAGGCCAGCCAGGGCTACATAGTAAGACTCTGTCTCAAATAAGCCATCTTAGAAAGGCTGCCTAGTGCCTGAAATATCAAAGTAAGCCAGTGTTCTGAGATTTCTAGGGACCCTACAAAATGCTTGATTGGTGGGAGGCAAGTGAGACTGGAGAGCAGAGTGAGCTGCCCTCTCCCTTTGGAAGATCATAGCGCACATCAAATATTCTGAGAGGGCCTGCAAAGGAAGCCTGTTTAGTTAACGTTACATCTGTTGTGACCACAGAACTACACCCCCATCACTACCTCTGACATTTCTCAGAATTAGTATTTTGTGGAATAATCTTTAGGAGGTAATATATAGAAAGCCCCAAGGAATCATTCTTGTTCCATATTAATAAATCTTAGGCATCTTGTATTTGCTAGCTTATATAACTAACAGAGAATTTGGATTTCTCTTTAGTTCTCTTTTAACAGTTGTAACTTTAAGGTCCAAAAATGCAAAGAAGGAACAGGACGAGTTGTGATGTGGCGGATGGGAATCCTAAACAGCTATACCATGGAGTCTACTTTTGGTGGGTCCACTCTGGGTAAGCAGAGAGCTTGATAAGGGAAAACCAAGCACAACACCTGGGAGAGGAAAGGCTTGGGAACATTGGAGAAATGACTGATGTAGAGGACTTCCTTGCCAGCCTTAAGATAAATTTGAGTACAGTGAACATGAGCGTGAAATAAGTGCTTCATGGAGTTGTGTATTGAAGTACTTGGAACCAGGCAGATGCGGGTTTGGCTTTCAGATGCATTTGTTAAGTTTTGTATTCCTGGGTAAATTGTTTGACCTTTTTGAACCTCGTAGTCCCTCTAAGTGGAAAATAAATAGCACCTGTATTATGAATACTACTTAACCAGGTAGTGCCCCCCTATCACTAAGGGAAACTTCAATAATTCAAAAAAAATGAAACTTGATGATATAACCATTGTGATAATAAATTTTTCTTGTTTTGTTTTTGTTTCTGTTTTGAGACAGAGTCTCCCTGGACCCCCAGGTGGCCTGGAACTATAGAGTATATGTAGGCCAGGCAGGCCTCAATCTCACAGAGCATACCTGCCTCTGCCTGGGATTAAAGGCATGTACCACTACACCTTGGCTGATAGTAAATTTTTTCATTGTCAAAGATTCTTGTGAACTAGACTACAACTAGGAGAATGACCCTGTTCAGATTGCTACTCTAGAATCAGGAGGAGTGTTTGTTTTGTTTTCATGTGTATGTGTGTATGCCTGCCACATATGTGCAGGTGCCCTCAGGGAACTAGAAAAGAGCATTGAATACCTTGTGCTGGAGTTAGATGCTGTTTCGAGCTACCCAGTGCAGGTACTGGGAACTGAACTTGGGTCCTGTGGAAGAGCTAGAAGCACTATTTACCTCTGAGCCATCTTTCCAACCCCATGGGGGTGGTATTTTTTTAAGGTTACTCATAAATTAGATTTGCATTCCATCCTTAAGATTTAATAAGAAATACTTATGGATTTTTTTTTCAGGTAGTAAAAGAGACACTCACTTTACCATAGAGGATCTAAAGTCCCTAGGTTATCATGTCTGTGACACTCTTCTTGATTTCTGTGATCCTGACCAAACCAAGGTAAAAATGGAGTCTCAATAAATGTGGTACCATTACTCTGATGAGTTTCACATGGATCCAGTGTTCTATAGTTTATATAATTTATCTGTTACTGTATCCTTAGTAGCAGGGATTGAGGCTTACCCTATCAGTAAATTAAGTGCCCTTAAGAATATGATTAGGGGCCTGGAGCGATAGCTCAATGGTTAAGAACACTGGCTATTCTTGCAGAAGACCCAGGTTTGGTTCTCAGCACCCACATGGCGGCTAACAACCATTCATAACTCCAGTTCCAGGGAATGCAACACCCTCTTTTGACCTCCATGGGCATGGCACAACATAGGTACACTTACATGTAGGCAATACACTCATAAACATAAAAATAATGAATTTTTTAAAAAGAATATGCTCAAATTTGGGCATGATGGCACACACCTTTAATCCTAGCAATTGAGAGGCAGGGAAAATAGACTCTGTGAATCTAAGGCCAGCCAGTGCTACATAGTGAGACCAGTCTGAATATACACACACACACTCTCTCTAGGAACTATTTCATGAATAGACTATCAAAAATAATGAGTTTTCCCCCTCTGTCACAGTTTGCTCAATGTCTACAGGAGCTTAAAGAACTCTTACAACAGGAAATCCACAAAAAGTTCAATAACCTTGGACAAACTATGGATTTAGAAGGATGCTGGGATGACATCCCTTTGTCTGACATTGAATCCAGGTAACAAATTTTGTTTTCAAAGAAAAACAAGAGAAGCCAGGCATGGTGGTACACATCTGTAATCCCAGCACTTGAGAGGTAGAGGCAGAAAGATTGGGAGTTTAAAGCAAATCAGAGCTATATAAGACCCTGTCTCATCAAGAACAAAAAGACTCTTGCAGTAATATAGGTGAAAGGTGATAGTTTAAATTGGAATAATAGCAGTGATTGAGGAAGGTATGTGAATTGATTGGATTCTAGATAGTTTTTTTTTTAACTTTTTTTTTTTTTGGTCTTTTTGAGACAGGGTCTCCCTGTAGCCCCAGTTTTCCTGGAACTCACTATGTAGACCAGGCTGGCCTTGACCTCACAGAGATCCGCCTGCCTCTGCCTCCCGAATGCTGGGATTAAAGGCGTGTGCCACCATGCCCAGCTTTTTTTTTTTTAACTTTTTAAAAAAATGTTATTTATGTCAGGTGTGGTGGCACACGCCTTTAATCCCAGCACTTGGGAGGCAGAGGCAGGCGGGGCTCTGTGTGTTCAAG